TTTTCCGGAAAACTCTGATGATTGTGCTGAGTGTTGTGTCTGCGGCAGTCAGGGAGCAGCCCCTGACCATTTGAGAGGATGTTTTCTGGTCTGCAGAAACGGTCTGGTGGTTGAGATGGTAAATATGGCAGGGATGCAGCTTCTCAGGGGGGGGGTGGCGTTTGTACGTACTGTCCTTGGGTATGGCGGCGGGCAGCATCTCCTTCAACAAGTCGCCCAGCGTATGGACGTGGCCGTCTGGAGAGACGGGTCGGAACAGCTTTTGAATAAACGGTCGGTCACTCGTTGGCTGTGGAAAGACAGATAAGGGTGGTGGGGGAGGGAGGACATAAACAGTAAGAAAAGCAGACGACACACTTTGCCATGAGCTAGATCAAATGCCACCCTTACACTCAAACGCATAGCCAAGATGCCCACCAAAGTCTAAGATATATACTCCAAAAAAATAATAAAAAAAATAATCCCATAACAAAACGTGATTTCTCTCACTCTGCGCGTCGCTAAAACAGGATGTCTGTTTATCTAATACTTAACAGACTATCCCAATGACTACAGTCTATAAACAAATACATTATCCGCTTCAAATTCTACACATCCGCTTCGATAGAGTCATCAAGGGCCACTGTAACCAAACACAATGTCAGAAAAACATCTCCGCTGATTCACTCCACACAAATGTGGCGTCTATCATGGCCAGGAAGCCCCCCCAAATGTGGCCCATCGCTCTTCGGCGTCAGCAGCCCATTAAAGGTGGCCATAAAGGCCCAGGGGCGAACCTGGACCTGCTCGCATTGTCAAGGATAAGAAGTTAATGGGCACAAAGTACCCTCCCATTGGCTCCTCTGACTGACCCCACCCCATCGGCGGACCGTAAGCACCGTCAGCACCCCCAGCTATCCTAAAATGCAGCCGCCCCCCCCCAATGACTCATGTGTTTGTTCTGCTGCAGAGCCCACAGGCCCAGGGCTGAGGAGGGAGCAGACTGGGCTCGACACCGGGCCTCGCAGCAGGCACAGAAACACGGCCAAGGGCCCCATCAGCTCACCGGGCGCTCAGGTCAAATGAGGGTGCAGGTTTGGCCAGATGACTCTTAACTCTTAGACATAGCTGGACTTTGTAATTCTCTGCCGGTTAACTCAACATACTTAATAAAGCGCCACGCTGGCTGAACGGGGGCTGATGTCAAGCTCTAGCTGCATTCTTGGTGTTGGGGGGCGGGGGGGGGGGGGGGGGGGGGGGGGTGGAGGGTTTGTCTGTCTAGAAATACATCAAGGTACCTTTCACAAAACCACAAGCACGGGTGACTGAATATGAAATGACTTCAGTGCGTTTCCCACTGCACTACGCTACACCTACGGCGCAGTATGAAACTTTAGCGACGATCTGACTAAAAACTGAGGACCTCCGCCTGCTCGGTCACTGGCCGCCTTAGCACTGCGCGATGCTACTGCATGTTTCCTGCTTGAAGACGAGACGAGCGATACGTGTGCAGCCGTACTATGAGAGGAGCCTCGGATTACTGGATAAATTAAAAAATGAAACGCTTAACAGCACGTTTCAATAAATGGTAGGAGGCCAGCAGTCACTATATGACATCATCACTGTGGCATAGGTTATATCATTGTCTGTGCGATCAGTCTACAGGTACAAGGCCCAGCCTGGCTCGAGCAAACAGCTTTTAGCAGTCAAGCAGGCCTGCATTTCACCGCGTTACATCTCCAGCACGAGCAGCACTTGGAACAATGAGGCATGTTTTAGATTTCTGTCCATGAGAAAACCAGCCTTGTTTATCCTTCCTTGCCTAGTTTTACGGCCCCTTCAGGGAGCTGTCATTTGTCTTGCACAGTGCATAAGATGACGATATGAATATAAATTAAAATTTTACTTAAATTAAGCAAAACCATGCAGGCTTTAAGTCAATCCACTGTTCTTAATAAACTGAGAACAAATGTTAGGGCTGGAAAAAAAAAAAAAACACAACACACACCTATAGTCAAAAAAACCCTCCTCGAACAATCACTGTAGTGGAAGCAATGTGTGCAAATGTAGACCTAAAGATAGGAAATGAGACCAACATCAGTTGGTGGTTTGAATCAGGAACTGAACTTCCGAACAGCAGTCAACGTCTGACCTATATTAAAAACCTAGATTAGCCTGCAATATATGGTGAATAATATGCACAATTTAAGATCATTTGCTATTGTAAGCATTACTCAGTGGCAGCATTTAGCAGGAACTCTGAAATCATCCTGGACACGGCCATGTATTAGCACAGCAAATGACGCAAAGAGAGTGATTCCTGTTCCTACAACGCATGTCTGATTTTGTTTAGATTGTGGTCTTTGGATGAAAGTGCACAGTATCATGGACTCGCTAGAGATCAGGGAATACGTTTCTCATAACAAACTTTAAAAAAAAAAAAAGTTAGTACAAGAGTAAATAAGCAAAGGATGTGTTCCTCTGAATCTGAAAGTTTCTAAGGACATGGTAGCAAAGGATGTCAATTCCCATAAGGTACATTTTTAGCATTTCACATTTTCAGATTTCATCCTTAGGGTGAGTAGTGTTAACATGAGACACCTGGCAAAATGGGACAGTTAAACGTTACAGTTAACAAGGGTTAATACTTTATTTTCTCTTCTATACGGGGTTCAAAGGACATAATTTTTTTTAGAATAGTATCAGGTTGGGATTCAAGACATTGGGATGATGATGATAACTTTTTCCGGAAAGCAAATTTTCATAAAGCGTCCCATTTTGAGAATACTCACCCTACTTGACATAGCAATGTCAGTCAAGCTGGAATTACCATAAACCTTGGAGTAATTTTATTTAGTTAGCGGTCATTACCGTTACAGCCCAAAATCACTTGGACAGTGCGGACTACCGGTGCAGCGGTGACATTTTCAAGGCACCAAGTCTGGTAAGGGAGCAGTGCGAGGTGGGAAGGAGACGCGAGCGTCATACGGAGCCAAGGCTCGGCTGAAATGCTCTCCAGGAGGCGCCGGGCGCTGGACAGCATCCAAACGTCATTGTGGGCTGTCACACGGGCCGCCGACAAAAGGTGTCAAGCCGAGAGACGCGAAACTGCAGTCCGCGGTGACAAACGCCAGCTCGACACACAATAGGAACTAATCATAGGGCCGTGAAAAGGAAACCGGCGACACGGGGTCTCGGGTGTCGCGCCGGTAACAGACACCGTGCAGCCGACGGGAAGAGAAGGTGGCTGGAAGCGCCGGCGCTCGCTATAGGGTTACCAGAAATACTGACTCACCGGCAGGAAGCGCGCTTTGCGCGGGATTAGCTGGGGGGACAGAGCAGGGAGAGTGCCGCTGCAGCAATGCATTTTTAAATACAGACATTAATTATTGACTGGGGCCCTATACAAAAAGGTCCATTAATCTCGATGAGGTGCAAGATACGCCGGACACCGACACTTTCTTTTCAGGAGGCGTGACACGCAAGCTGGCGGCGCGCTGCAAAGCAGCGGCACCGGGGGGGGTAAGAGAAAAAAAATCTTTGTTCCACCCTCTTTTCTAACGCGACCCCCACCGTTGTCTCCGCAAATAAAAGATGCCTATTAAAACAACAGGTGATGGACGCCACCGGAATAATAAATAATAATTATTAAGGTTAAACGCGCCTTGCTGTCCGCAAACACGACAGCGGACTGAATGTGGAGCTGAGACCAAAGTAAAGAGCACTTTGTTTTTATTATCCATACACGCGATAAAAGGACAAAACACATTTTCAAGTTTGTCACCTCGTCACAAATTGGCTCACAACTCCTTTACCCCACTTAGTGGATTAATTTTCAGTACTGCATGTTCAAAAACAAATTTAAAGTTAAAAAACTACGTGTTTATATGACACCGTTTCATGTTTTACGCCTGTGGACAACATTTGTTCGCAAATATCCGCTCTCTCCCCAGAACAGAGTAAACCGACTGCAGTCGAATATTATCTTTAGATGGCACAACGATAAAGTGAACAGCTATTTCCTCCGTCACTAATTTCAGGGAGAAAATGACTTTGAAATTGGATATAATTGCAATTTCAATGGCACTGCGAAGTCAGACATTTTAAAAACGACAAACATTTGATCTCGCTGATTTCTAATATGCGTGTATATTCACGTCATTGTATGAGAGACATTTTAAGAAACCATCGCAAACAGCTTAATGCTTTTATTTCCCCACGCGATTTTTCCCCACGTTAAAAGAAACATATATGGACCTGACACGCATTGTAATCAGAAACGCGTAAACCCTTAGTCAGCATATGATGCTGCCATCAGGCGTTATTTATCGGCACAGAATGATGCTTTTACAGCAAACGCATGATGAGACCCAAGAGCTCTGCAGCTGCCTTTCATTATGGTGCGTCCGGGGCCCTGACTCAGACACCGCCGAGATGCACCGCCGGTTTCTCCGACACTCAACGCCGCGACCCAAGTCGGCGTTTCTCACGTCGAGCCGATCGCCAGCTGTCCTTCAGCGGCCTCCCAAATCACCCACATTAAATCATTATTAAAAAGCGCACGACTGTCGCTGAACCGTCCCCACCGTCAGATGGGAGTCTATCATTAAAGGAAATGTTATCATTCATTCTGGCTGCATCAGAGATATGCGGTTATTTACGCGAAAGACCGCAATCTGTTTACAGATGGAGGCTCTATGCCTGGAAGACAGTCAATTAGGCTTAATGGTGATTTATATATCCGGACCGGAGGAACTTTCTGTCTTGCTTTTAACGCTGCAGTAGGCCTATATGGTACTCGGACAGTCTGGACCGCTGAATCACTGTTAGTTTGATAAGTCTGTGGCTATAAAAAACGTTCCCGATTGTTTGTATCTACTGACAACAGTTATAGGAAATGACATGCTGTGAAGTTAAACGGGAATGAACGGACAGAGTTACCTGAATTATATACACAACACAGAAAATGAGAAATTACTTTTTAAAGAATGATTTATGTAATAACAGGCAAAAATGAAAAACTACGGCCACAATGTGACAATATGTCTCATATGCCGTACGTCTGCCGTAAGATACTTATTTTTACGAAAAAGCAAAGTTTTTCTAAGTATTATGACTTCTGATTCGCCAGCACAAAATCTCAGTAAAATTAAGATCAAGTTTGATGAAATAATTACATTTCAATTTCAATTACAGAAAAACAAACATGCTGATATAATAAAATCAAAATTGAATAAAATACTATTATTAGTGTAAAAAGTTTATTTACACTTCAAACGCCATATAGACTTATTCCTTCAGTATTTAATATATATTTCTACGAAGATTTGGGGGGAAAAAAAAATATTTTCTGTGCAAAATACTTTTTCTTGTCCTTAAAAACACCAGTATAACACATATTTACATGAATTACCTTTTTTTCCTCATTTACTGTTAATGATTAAGACATAGACATTTACTTCTAGACACACTTTCTTGATTAATTGTGCCTTTTGATTGTACTCTCTTACTAATATTTATTATCAGGTTACAGTAAACTGTGTTTCCAGAAATCCAGCCTCGCAATCCCTTGCAACCAGACACACAGAGCCGGGTAAAGTTTTCCACACCTCTGGTGCGTGGATGCCCAGACACTATTAATCATATCTGGGGAATTTCGACTGAGTCACGGCAGCAGTTGAATCTACCTAAACCCTGACAGCAACTACATAGTATAGNCCCCCTCAATATCAGACTATAGCCAAAACACGTCCAAACTGATCTAACGCGTCATAGAATGGGAAAGAGCCCCAATCATTTTTTGCCGTTTTCAGTAGAAGGCATGGAGAACACAAAAAAAGGAGTGAGTGGGAAATGGGCATCTGTATTTTCGGGAAAGGGGCGGCCTGCTGGTGTAGGGAGCAGAGCAGTGAATAAGGACGAAAATGGGAGTGAAATGTTCATAATTCTGAACTAAAGAAACCTCAAAAATTAATTTCAATGAAAAATGCTCAGAATACAAAACAGCAAGAGAAATAAATCTTTTAAAAGAATCTTAAAGTGGAGATTTCAGGTTTAAGCAATGAATACAAGTCAATTGAAGGCTGTGTTTCGAATGCGGCAGTCCAGTTTCAGAATTCAACACCCAAGTCCCAAGTCCCAGTGAATTAAAATAATCAGCTCGATTGGTTGGGTTTATGCCGCCCTGGCAACACTGCAAGTAACCGAGTGAGGTGCAGTGATAAACTGTAATCCTAGATAGCTTGGAGGGTGTCAGATCAGTGGCCTCATTGTTCAGAAAGTTTACACCCGAAACCTCAAAACAAGGGTCTTTCCCATCCAGACAATTACACTCTGGGAGAGACTGGCAGTTCTGGGATGCTGGATGGCTTCCGTTGTCGCTTCACCCACTATAACCACGGCGCTGAATGGTTTCCACCTACTCACATGAGTTGCAGATGAAGAAAGAGCCGATTTATTGTGGAAAACATTCTGCGCTCTCTGACTGGGACAGCCATGTCCTACAGCTTGGCCTGTGGCCTCCCCAACTGCAGGTGTATGACCTCACAAACGCTGACACCAACAAAGGCAGAAGCTGTCAATCATGTCGGGAGAGACCTGGACAACATGCACAGTTCCCAGTGCCTCTCCGATCCTCCTCAGCCGGCACCATTGAATGGGGTCCCAGCTGAGCACCACATGAGAGAGCAGAGCGGGTACCCATAACGTCCAAAGCGGGGTGCATCGCGACGCAGCACGGGGTATGACAGCAGACTGCAGCTGTGGCTGGTGGGGGGGGTGGGGGGGCAGTGCCTGCAGCTCTCACAAGTTCTTCACTGTATCCCTACAGGGTTTTTCCATACTTGGCTGCCAGATTTAAGGGCAAGACAACAACAAGGAGCATGAGGCAACGAG